TTTTGCTGAGTGTGGGTGAGGATGCCGGAGGTGGGGGGGACTCTCTCATGTCCAGGAAATATCCCTATTTGGGTAATGAAAGAGCTAAATAAGTTAGGATTAAGATGGGTGCCTTGCCAACAGCGCACAGAGCTCTCCTAAATAACCTTAGCGAGGGCGGCGCATGCCCACTGATCCTGCCGTCACGCCCTTACCGAGCTGCTGCTGCAGGAAACATAACAAGGTGCTGCCGCTGTGCCATCCTGCTCGCCCATCACCACCACCACCACCCAGCAAACAATCACATTTTACCCACCACCACCTACCAAACACATCACCGCCACCCTCACATCTTACCCATCACCTCCCACTGCCATCACACCGCCCACTACCACCACACCACCTATTAACACCCACCATATTGCCCACCAGACTTACCCACCATCCGCCCACATGAATGGCATCTTATTCACCAACCGCCCATCAATGCTGACATCTCACTCGCCACCCCCACCACACCGCCCATCGCCACCCACCACACTGACATCTCACCTCCCGCCCACCACATGCTACTTGCTACCCATACTTCTGATCCACGACCCCGCCCACTACACTCACACCAAACGCCACACTATGTAAGCCGCCCCTCACACTAGCCAGCAGACCGCTCTCAGGGGTGTGGAGGGGTCACAAGAGACACCGCAGACTTACCTACTAGGCGTGGGGGCGTGGATAAAGGCCGCCCACGGTCAGTGTTAGTGTTGCGGATGAGCGCTGCGTCGGTGATGAGTGTTGCGTTGGCGTGGTGAGGTGGGCGGACGGGTGGGTCACAATGAGGGGTCAGGGTGCAACACCATCAACACAGCGTGAGGTGCCCGGTGACCTGCCTCTCACCCTCAAGGGTCAGGCGCCGCCGACCGTGTTGTCAACACTTAAGGCAACACTGAGACGCTACCTAACACACAAAACTTCACATAACACAACTAGACATATACACCTTAATTACTCCCAACCAACTGTCACAAGCTCAATTATTCACTTGGATTAACAATACAACAAAATGTGTTATCCTCGACACGATCTATACACGAACCAATCTTTTTTATGGTAGTGGGCTAAGACGCATCACTGATCACTGGGCGTGGTAGCCGGGACACTGTTAGTGCACACACGGCGCCGCTAATGTTGACATGTAATTAGTGAATGACGTAGTGGAGGGCGAGGTGGCGACGCGGCCTCACACAGGTCGTCGTCCGCCTCCGGCCAGAGAGACTGAGCAGTGGAGTCCTCTGACGCTGACGCTTGCACCCGCGCCTCCCTACGCTCGCTCAGGGGCCCCGCACGGATTGCCCAATGTTGCACTTTACATACCAAACTTATCTTAATAACAATCACACACGCGGCTCGTTATGACTTTACTTGCATGGTTAAGGAACGAGTAGCAAGTAATATGAAGTACGAGGCGGATGAGAGTCCCTGGCAAGCTAGCGAGTGAAGCGGACGAAGCAGGAGCTGCGCGCCCTCCCCGGCGCGTCATCATCAAATTCAATCAGTGTTGAGCTGGGAATAGGGATCTGTTGGCAAAATGTGAGCTGCAAATATTACGTGTCAATTATATACGAGCGGGAGTAGACAATTTTATTGAGGCGACTTGATCTGCATTATAGGGCGTCGGTGGCAGTAGTGGTGTGAGCGGGGGCTACAGTGTACACAAAGAACCCCTAACAGCCGTGTGCACCAGCCAGCCCCCAGCGTGCACTAAACTTGTAGTTAAGGTACAATTATAGCGTAAGTCATCACGGGGGGGGGGGGCAAACATTATTTGTGTTACAAACACTACATTACAAGGAAGTAAAAACCCGGCCAGGAGCAGAGGCGTGAGGTAGGCTGGCAGGTTGGAGATGTGTGCGTGAGTGTGGGTGGCGGGGCCTCAGCTCCCCAACACATATTCCCCTGCAGTGCACTTAGAACCCCGGCCTGGCGTCCCTCGCCCCAACCACCACATGGCCATAAGCATGGAGGGGTTTAGTCAATTCCAGCATTGATCCCAGCAACACCTACGCCAGACCCATGCGCACACACCACTGCGTCGACCCGCCACCCTTTCATGGATGCTTCACCAAGCCCCTGCTCACCAGACACCCTGCTGGTGACTTAGTCTACCATATCTAGCGTAAAGTATTGTGCGACACACCTCACGTGATAATGTTAACACCCACGAGCGCACACGAGGCAAGTGACGCAGGAAAGTTTTAACTATTGATCCCACAACCCCGCGCTGCCTTCGCTGTTGCTGTGCACGTAACGTCAGCGACCTACATGTCCACCCTCCGCCAATATCCTCGCTTAATAATATATGTCTCGCACACGACTCATACATAACAACACACCCGTGCCCTGGGGATTAAACATGCAAGGGGCAACTTTACAAAACTACCAAAAGGTTTTACTGCAGACAAGAGAAACAATTTATAATTTTCTTGAGTCAACTGAACTTCCCTCTGTGTGTGTGTGTGTGGAACTGAAGTTGTTGATTATTCAAAATTCTACACAAAAATGCCTCAATTATGTTGATATCATAACACCCGTGTATGGCTGAGGTTATGTTTCTCCATACCTGACTGTTGAGAGAGAGGGTGAGGATGAGAGGGGAGAGGAGGGGAACAGAACAGAATAGGGAGCGACGGTGAGAGCTGGATAACGGGCAGAACAACGAAGAGAGAGAGGAGAAAGATAGGGGAAACAAAAGAGAGAGAGAGAGAGAGAGAGAGAGAGAGAGAGAGAGAGAGAGAGAGAGCACCATGAAGGTGACCTGTCAGTGGCACAACACCAAACAACCAAACCACCGCCGCCTCCTGTCCACAAAAAAAAAAGATTGGCTGGCGGTGCTGAAGGTGTAGCAAGAGCCGCCCCTGGGACTCGGCCCTAACAAACAAACACACACACACACTTTTCCTGACGTCACCACCATCACCACCAGTACCTCAATTGCAACACTGCCCTCGCCTCCTCCTTACCACCGGAGGGTCAAAACGGCTCGCAGTACCTTAGCCGTCACCGGGGGAATCGACAGAAATGTATAGCCACTTCTTCTCCCCAAATATTAAGGTATGGAAGGGAAGAAGGGGGGGATGGAGAGAGGGAGGAAAGAGGGTAAGTGGGGAGAGAGGGGTGTAGACCAAAAGAGAGTGATTTCCTCCCTTAAACTACAGTCAATCAGGCGACTCATCCAAGGAAGGGTGAGATCACAGACGCCACACCACACTAAATTTTCACTCCCGATAGGAACCAGGTCGGACAACTCCGGTTGGGGGAAATGTTCCTCTCCCCCCGTCGTAATTCACTAGGGATCACCTCCCCCCTCTCACACGACACAAGGAGGGAGGGGTGATGGAGAGGAGGAGGCCTTAACGAGGAGGAGGGGGGGGGAGTGACTATATGACCCGGGGGAGGGAGAGGGGCAGAAACAAACTGGGCTGACGTGGTGGTAAGTGAGGGAGGGAGAGAGGGAGAGAGAGAATACTGTAGCAGTAGAGTAGACGTGAAGCTCATAATCTCTGCAGGGGAGACGGCCGAGTGATGGAGTGGTGTTCAGCGTGGCGAGTGTCAGGAGTGGCTGATGAGTTTTACACACACACACACACACACACACACACACACACACACACACACACACACACACACACACGAAGTACTTTTAAAGAGTTAAACAAAATCAACTATCTCAACGTGACCTTCTGACCAGCTCCATTAAACGTCACCAAAAAGGTCACTGGCCACCAAAAAGCGATTAGACGAGGATCTTACCTAAAAATCCCTTCCTGCCAAATTTAATTAAAAGGTGATTTACAATTGAGGACTTAGTTATCGGCCGGGCAAGATACCTGTCACTGATGTTTTAGAGGAAGAGAGTCAGCTAACCATTTGTGTATGGAGGTCCTCTCTCAAGTGAATAAAATCACTGGGTGTTAAAAATGGCATCCAATAGTGAAGGAGTTAAGAGTGTCACAGGTATATACGGTCGACGTCAATTAACCTGTCCATAACACCTGTCAACTGTTTATCTAAGTGTTGACACAAGAAACTAAATGACCCCCCCCCCACCACATACAAAAATATCTCACTATGATCTCTAAGTTATGAACACCGTCTGGCCCGAGCACTCACTACGGCCTGGCATTCCTTATACCCTCCGCCAAATTAAATGATCGTGTGAGCTGTGTGTGTCTGATCTCCCTTCGTTATAACTGGTCGAGTGACTTACCGCAATACTGGTTACTGTCGTGATCTACTCCCCAACTCCACCTCCTTTCTCCTTCTCCATCTTCTCTTCTCCTCCCCCCTCTTCTCTTCTCCTCTCCCTCTTTCCCCCACCCACCTCAGCTAAGCGACTTTAACATGACCCAGAGAAACCCAGGTCAAATTACTTTTCAATACTGATTCAATGGCATTAAATGTTTCGCCTCAACCCCCCCCGCGCGCGCTAAGCACCTTGTTGGGAAACACCGATCAGCTCGTGTGTGTGTGTGTGTGTTGGTTCACCTGTGGTTTGGGAGGTTCAGATGTGCTTTGCCACCTCCACTTCCACGCTCCCTCCTCCACTATCAACTCCACACTCCACACTTGCTCCTTCTTACCACCACCTCCACCTCACCTCCACATTTCCCCCCTCACCACAGCCTTACAGTCCAGGTTCAGTACCTTCACCTTACACAAGAGAGGCACTGATCATTTCACCTTCGACTGACTGCTGGTTGTGAAAACACTCCCCCCCCCTCCCATCGACCACTCACAGTACGAGCAGCGGAAGACTCACCCACGGACCGAGTAACTTCAAGACCCCAATGGAAATAAAGTTTTTATACAGCTTTCTTAAGACTCACCGTTCACCACTGCTTGTTTACCTGTACTGTTTATGTAAGTACACGCTGAAGCAATGTGAGGTTGATGATGATTTTACACAATAAACATCTATCTATCTATCAATCAAATCTATCTATCTAGCTATCTCAACAACTTACCCCTGACTGGTGGTGGTTGTTAGTGGCAGTGCGGGAGCGGCGTGGCGTGATGCCCACGTTCTCACCCCTCAGGATCGACTCCACAACTGTGAACAAGAGAAAGTGTTAGAAAGTTGCCCTGCATACAAGGGGGGGAGGGGAAGGGGGGAGAGGGGAAGGGGAGAAGTGGGGAGAGGGTTAGGGGAGAAGAGAGGAAGGGGAGAAGAGAGGAAGGGGAGAAGAAGGGGAGGGGAGAAGGGGGAGGCTCATACCCGGCAGTTTACCTGGCAAAGCGTGCGAGGGTGTTAAAGGTCGCAAAAAAAAAGTAAATAAAATAAAGTTGAAAGCTGAGCAAGAAGAACGCGTCTGAGCTGAACAATCCAACGAGGAAAATTATATTAAGGGGGATACAAACTTTGGGAGCGAGGAGAAAAAATAAATAAATAGTTTGGTACAAATTATATCGGAGAGGAATTTCAAGGATAAAAATAAATAGAAATTGATAAAAATAACTACTGGAGTGAAAATATAAACATTGAATCTAGTTGGAGACAATGGACGGGTTAATGGGAAAGGGATGTGGAGGGTGTTGAGGAGGGGCTCAGCTGGACACGAGAGACATACTGAAGGAGAGACCCACACGACCACGACGACTTGTCGGGTGGTGGGGGATGGGACGACCACGGCACCCCACAAGAAAAGCCTGCTGGGAGAGTTAGTGAGAGAACCTTGAGGGAGAGGGAGGGAAGTGGGAGAGGGAGGGAGGCTGTGTCGTGACTCTGGTGTAAAAATATCGTGATGGACGTCATCCTCGGCACCACCTGCGCCTCCTCCAAATACACACACTATCAGGAGGAGGAGGAATACAATAACAAATATGTGTGGGTTATCCTGGAACACGACGACCTTCCCACCCACCCCATCAATCAGGAGTACTGTAATGTAATCAAGGACAGGTGAGAGTTGTTTAGCCTCAGGGAAGACTCACCTTGTCTCGAGTCTCCATCAGGCCGAGTGATAGAGTTACAGAATGTGGGAGTTAACCTGAAGAAAGACCCTCTCCCTCCCGCCCACCCAAAAGAATATTACGAGTAATGATCATAAAAATGTCATTAATTCTTCCACACTTTACTGCTCCCACTGGCTAAGCACTGAACCAAGAGGACGCTCATGGTCTGCCTGCTGTCAGAGGCACAACAGGTTCTGACAATGCCTCAAGCTGGCCTCACCACTGATGGTGGCCAGGAAAATTGGTCTCATTAGGCACTGACAGAGTCGTTGCTCCGGGATGGTGAGTCGTGTTCCAGTGAATATTACAACACAACTTACTCAAGTCAGGCGCAGTGTAGAACAGTCTGAGATTATAACACAGTGTAGAGCAGCCTGAGATCATGACACAGTGTAGAGCAGCCTGAGATCATGACACAGTGTAGAGCAGCCTGAGATCATGACGCAGTGTAGAGCAGCCTGAGATCATGACGCAGTGTAGAGCAGCCTGAGATCATGACGCAGTGTAGAGCAGCCTGAGATCATGACGCAGTGTAGAGCAGCCTGAGATCATGACGCAGTGTAGAGCAGCCTGAGATCATGACAGAGCAGCCTGGAGATCAGACGAGCAGCCTGAGATCATGACACAGTGTAGAGCAGCCTGAGATCATGACGCAGTGTAGAGCAGCCTGAGATCATGACGCAGTGTAGAGCCTGAGATCATGACACAGTGTGGAGCAGCCTGGAGATCATGACGCAGTGTAGAGCAGCCTGAGATCATGACACAGTGTAGAGCAGCCTGAGATCATGACACAGTGTAGAGCAGCCTGAGATCATGACGCAGTGTAGAGCAGCCTGAGATCATGACGCAGTGTAGAGCAGCTCTGAGATGAGATCATGACGCAGTGTAGAGCAGCCTGAGATCGTGTGACAGCAGTGTAGAGCAGCCTGAGATCATGAGATCATGACAGTGTAGAGCAGCTCGAGATCATGACGCAGTGAGAGCATGCACTGTAGAGCAGCAGTGACGCAGTGAGAGCAGCCTGAGATCATGACACAGGTAGAGCAGCCTGAGATCATGACGAGTGTAGAGCAGCCTGAGATCATGAGCAGCAGTGTGTAGAGCAGCCTGAGATCGTGACGCAGTGTAGAGCAGCCTGAGATCATGACACTTGAGGCTGAAACAGACCAGCAGGACAGCCCAGACGTCGAGGACTGAACGCCAACAACCACAACCTGACACAACTGATGATCCGGTACAGCGGAGTACACACCCTGATCAAACCTCGCAGCGTACCTGCCGTCATAAACCATCCACATTAAATTCATCTTGAAAAAAAAAAGTGACCCGCAGAGCCAACGAAAGCATCAGACAGGTTGAGATGGTATCAACAGCTGGCTGGTGAGTGGATACTGGACCTCAATTTTGAGCGTTTTTGTCAGGACGAGTTCAACTGTTTGACCAACCTGTTCAAGTATGCCAAACACAACTTATGATACAAGGCAATAAAGACCTGCTACTGAGGAGACTTGAGAGTGTGGACTGTGATTATAATCATATAATTTGCCCACTGGCAGCCAATCAGTCGAGTAAGACATCCTTGACTCGGATTTATTATATATACGAGGATGTATGCTCGACTAGGAATAAGATAAACCTGAACTGAGAAGTTAAATTACGGCTCCACTTTACAGTTTCCAGCAGCAGGGGCGGAGGGCAGACAACCTCCACTAAAATCCCGGCTCTCAGGAGCGACCGACCGTAGGCTGATGACACCAACGTTTACGCCACATGGGCTCAACGTTCACTTGTGAAGGTAGTGCCGCCCATCAGCCCTGGGTCAACTTTCAATTTAACTTTGTCCATTACGAGGAAATATGGTCCCGTGTAATAGTCCAAGACCTCATGACTCTGGCACAAAACTTTGAGGAGGCGTTCACCGCGTGATAGTGGCCGGGCCAGCCAGGGTGACGCTCTGCTGCTGGGGCACGTGTGGCCCTCTTGTGGCCACGGGTAAAAAGGGAGATGCTACAACTGCTGCTGCTGGTTGATAGTGGTAAATGTGATATTTAGTTAATTGGTTGTTTTGTTAGCTGTTGTGTGGTTGGTTTAGAAGTAATCAGTGAGGTGTGGTGTCTATCCAAGTGCGTCAGGCACTGACTTGACGGTTGTGGAGACGTTATAGAGGTGTCAGTGTGGTAGTGAGGTCTTCACGGTAGTCATGTAGCAACTGACTGGTTGAGTGATGAGCCTGTAGTGGTAGTCAGTGCTAATGAATGGTTGTAGTGATGTTGGAGCAGCAGTGGAGATGAACCAGTGAGGCAACAGTGACTATACTGAGGCACTAGATCGTCCAGCTGCTAGTTAAAAAAATACACGAAACGCGACACTGTGGTGCGCTATCATGTGACGCTGGTGACGGCGGTGTAGTCACGGCGACAGTAAACGTGACGCAACACAAACTGTGAGTGACGCAAACGCCGCCCTTCACCCCCTTCAATAATAACAATAACAAGCAACAACAACAGTAATAAGGAGGTGGACTCTAGCCTGCATCAGGAGGGGCGACACTAACGAGGTGAAGCCATGTATGTCGTGGGAAGCACATCATCATCATCAGTGTGGCGGAGGGAGAGGAAGACAGACGAGAGAATCCTGCTCCATGGCGGCACAGTAACAGCTGCAGTGTTCCTGGCATATAATGAAGATCTCCAGTAAAGCCATCAGTGGAGGCATCACATGGGAGGCAACTGTGGTACCAGAGGGAGTGAGAGGAGGCGAGGACTGCCACCACTGTTCCCCTGGAAACCAAGCGTCCCCCTCCCCAACTGTAAATCTTTCTTTATTGTCTCTTCAGTGAGGAGCTGCATCCTTCTGACGGTGGCGCGCGTCTGCTTGTTTGTTCACTGGCCCTCCTTCTCCTCTTACTGTGTCACCCCTTGTGTTTTTATACCAAATGGACACACACGCACATCTTGTTACCTTAAGGCTGAACTCCAAGTGATATGAAGTGATACACATACCACATACACGAGAGAGAGAGAGAGATACATAAGTCTTGTTAAGTTTCCGCCGGGGTCTTCCCTAGTCGTCTTCCGGGAGTGGATTATTGATTTCTCTAACGGTGTCATGACGGTGTTGAACCACCAGTGTGTTGATCCAGGAAGATTATTACTGTGTTGTATAAGAGAGTTGTGTTCCATTATTCGTGGGAAGATGAGAGTGCAGTTCCCTCTACGCGTTGTGGCTTTTCTTACCCACAAGTACGTCATCATCATTATCATCATCTTCAAACTTCCTCATCTTTATCTACATTATTTTATCACGTCGATCAGGTTCCAACTGGGGCCACTAATTGGACGTCTTATTGTTCCTTGTACCAGTCACTCGTCTTGATGTTGTACCTACCTTACTTACTCCTTCCCTCCCCCACTCCCTTCCAACAACTCCTACTACTAATGACTCACTTTCCTGGCCTCGTTATCCAGCAGATCCTGAGAACCAGACAAACAACAGACAACACAAACCACCGTGACTGATGCCTCCCGCCTCACCACAAAAGGAGGAACAACCCCTCCCCTATGAGGAATTGTTTAGGGGTGAGTGAGAGGAAGGGTGTAGAGACGAGGTGACAGGTTAAGTAGGTAAGAGAGGTGAGGGGAAGGAGAGGAGGGAAGACAACAGAAGCGACACCCACCACTCTCTCTCCACCTGCCGTTAACTTCCGCCCCCAAATCCTGTGCATCTAGGCAGCTCCTGTGTGGCCTAAACCCATCCCTCTCGCGGCCTTGGTTCTAACACTTAAACTACTAGATAGGGGAAACTATCCTCTTGGCACCGAGTTTATTTATTAGATGTGGAAATGATCGGATAAATAAACAGTGGTTGAGGTGCTCGTGGTGACAATGAGGAAGACTTTCAGTTTCCATATCCGGGAAAAACACGAGTTAAGGGCCTAGTGTTCTCCTCTGGTGAAGGCTGTAGGCAGTTTGTGCCCCCGACAGAGTGACGGTAGGCAGGCTGTGTGGGGGTGTCTGTCAACTGCCTGGAAGATTTAACCAAGCTGCTGGTGCTGCCTCACGTCTGCCACCCTCTTGTGCAATATTAAGGTGTGGTGAG